GACCCCATATAGAGGGGGTTCCCGCCTGAAACTTCCTCACCATTCACTCACAGACGAAGCTCCCGCCTGAGACGTCCTCCACATTCAGGCTTAAGGAGGCCGGAAGTAACGACAGTTACAAGATGCCGATGACCCGCTCGGATTGGTAACATGATCTGCGAGCTCCATAGGGCGGGGGGTCCTGCCTGAGACTTCCTAGCAAGTCACTCACAGACGAGGCTCCCGCCTGAGACTTCCCCCATATTCAGGCCTCAGAGGCCCAAAAGCGAAGCCCCTTTACAAGATCCCGATGACATGTTCGGATTAATAACATGAGCTGCGGGCCCCATAGGGAGGGGGATCCCGCCTGAGACTTCCTCGCAATTCACTCACAGAGGCCGAAAGTAACGAGATTTAAACGATTCCGATGGCCCGCACGGGTTAACAATATGAGCTGCGGGCCCCATAGGGAGGGGGTTCCGCCTGAGACTTCCTCGCCGAGGTTCCAGCCTGATACTTCCCCCACATTCGGGCCTGAAGAGCCAAAAAAAGTGACGACACTGACACGATCCCGATGACCCGCTCGGATTAGTAACATGAGCTGCGGGCCCCATAGGGAAGGGGCGTCCGCCTGAGACTTCCTCGCAATTAACTCACAGACGAGGCTCCCGCCTGGTACTTCAAGTGTGGCTGTGAGTGAGTGAGCGACGGGTTGAATGAATGGGCGAATGAGTGAGGATGATGACGATGCTGATGATGATGATGACGGGTGTGTGAATGAGTGGGCGAGTGGGTAGGTAGTGTGTAACTGATGATGATGTGGTGGTGACGATGATGATGTGAGTGTGTGAGTGTGTGAGTGGGAAGAGAGGGGGTGTTCTCTTGTCCCGAGAAAACAAAACCTCCACTTTGGATGTCGGGAAAACAACCGCAAAACGCTGCTGTACAAGTTGTGATTCCCTCGAGACGAGAGGCCTGGGCCCCAGACAGCCGATGTCTCACTTTTTGTCACTACAGGGTCCCCGACAGTCCCGACCCTGTCTCCAGGGGCGGGTTTCCACCCCGACCCACGTTTTACGGTCACAAGGCCTGGTGACGTCGTCCAGGGGCCGAAAACCAATACAAATTACTCCGACGGCAGGACCCCACATGAGAATATATGCAGATTGCCCTTCGCTCTTTCCTCTTCGCCCTGGCCAGAGCCCCCCGTCTCACCTTCTGTTGCGCCGCCTCATCATCATCCTTGTTTTCCTCGTCCTCCGTCTCCTCCTCCTGCTCGCCCTCCTTGTTCAATATGTCCTGTCATTCTTCGTCGTTTTCCTCCTCCTCCTCCTCCTCCTCCTCCTCCTCCTCCTCCTCCTGCTCCTGCTCCTCATCCTCTTCCTCCTCATCCTCCGCATCCTCCTCCTCCTTTCCCCCCCCCCCCTCATCTCCATCCCGCCTGTTCTCCTCATGCACCTCTCCTTCCTCCTGGCAGGGGGGCCCTGGCAGGGGGTCGCATGCGGACTTTCTTCGGCGCCCTCGCCGCCTCTCCGACGGCAAAACCGCGAAGTCGTCGGGGCAGCGGCCGCTGGGACAACCCCGTGAGCCGCTGGGGCGCGAGAGCAAGCCGTTGGGACAACCCCGCACCCACCGAGTTACTAGATCAGCTCTGCCGCGAGCTGCTCCGCCTCAGCCCTGGAGCCCGCCGCTCTTGTGTCGAACTCCTCAACCGACTTGTGACTAGGGAGGGGGCTCCCGCCTGAGACTTCCTTACAACTCATCCACAGACGGGTGAGGAACGCCTCGTGATGTGCCCCTCGGGGGTGCTCAGATGTTGTGCCTGGTGGAGTTTGCCGATGACCCGCTAGGATTACCAACATGAAGTGCGGGCCCCATACGCAGGGGGGGCTCCCGCCTGAGACTTCCTCGCTACCCACTCACACACGAAGCCACCCCAATGAGACCTCCATCTCCACTCCAGGGGAGCCGAAAAGTGACGACAGATACAAGGTTTCGATGACCCACTCGGATTACCAACATGAAGTGCTGACCCCATTGGGAAGGGGGCTCTCGACTGAGACTTCCTCGCGATTCGCTCACAGACGAAGTTCCCGCCTGAGACCTCCTACATACTCAGGACTGGGGAGCCCGAGAACGACGACAATTACAAGGTTTCGATGACCCGCCCGGATTACCAACATGAAGTGCAGACCTCATTGGGAGTGGGCTTTCGACTGAGACTTCCTCGCGATTCGCTCACAGACAAAGCTCCCGCCTGACTTCGTCGAAGTTCAGGCCTGAGGAGCCCAAAAGTGACGACGGTTACAAGATCCCGATGACCCGCTCGGATTACCAACATGAAGTGCGGACCCCATAAGGAGGGGACGTCCACCTGAGACTTCCTGACAATTCACTCACAGACGAGGCTCCCGCCTGGGACTTCCCCAAGATTCATGCTTGAGGAGCCCAAAAGTGACGAAAAGAACAAGATCCTGGTGACCCGCCTGGATTCCAACATGAAATGCGGACCCCATAGAGAGGGGGTCCCGCCTGAGACTTCCTGGCAATGCCCTAACAGACGAGGCTCCCGCCAGAGACTTCCTCGAGAACAAAGCCTGAGGAGCCCAAAAGTAACGACATCTACAAGATGCCGGTGACCCGCTCGGACTACCGACATGAAGCGGGGATCCCGTAGGGAGGAGCCTCCCGTCTGAGACTTCCACGCAATTCACTCACACACGAGGCTCCCGCCTGAGACTTTCGCATTACTCAGCCCTCAGGAGCCCAAAAGTGACGACAGTTACAAGATCCCGATGACCCGCTCGGAATAATAATATTACCTGACATGGGGGGGGGGGGCTCCCGCCTTAGACTTCCTCGCAATTCACTCACAGACGAGGCTCCTGCCAGAGACTTCCCCCATGTTCAAACCTCAGAAACCCCAAAAAAGGCTATGACCCGATCATATTAATAAGGTAAGCTGCGGGCCCCATAAGGAGGCGGCTCCCGCCTGAGACTTCCTCGCAATTCACTCACGGAAGAAACTCCCTCCTGAGACTCCCGCCACACTCAGGCATTAGGAGCCCAGAAGTGACGACACTTACAGGATCCCGATGACCCGCCTCGGATTAGTCACATGAGCTGCGGGCCCCACAGGGAGGGGGCTTCTGCGTGAGACTTCCTTGCATTTCACTCACAGACGAGGCTCCCGCCTGATAGCTCCTCGAGGTGAGTGCGTGGGCGTGTGAGTAGGTGAATGAGTGGGATAGTGTTTGAATAAAATATACGTAATCTGGAGTGACCGAGGAAGTGTGAGTGAGTGTGTACGTGATGATGATGGGGTGGTGATGATGATGATGATGACGATGATGCTGATGATGATGAAGATGATGAAGATGATGATGCTGATGATGATGATGATGATGATGGTGATGGTGATGGTGATGGTGATGATGATGATGATGAGGATGATGTTGGTGGTGATGGTGATGGTGATGGTGATGGTGATGGTGATGATGATGATGATGATGATGATGATGATGATGATGATGATGATGATGATGATGATGTATGAGTGTGTGAGTGTGTGAATGAGAAGAGAGGGGGTGTTCGTGTTCCTGCGCGGGGTGTCCAGGGAAAACGAGAGCCTTTCTTCGGACGTGGGGAAAAACCTTCGGCCAGGGCCAAGGCCACCTTCGGCGGCACCCGCGAAAAGGCCCAGGGATGGAGGCCTCCAGGATGGGATCCGAGCAGACGGGCGAGGTCGGAGGGTCGCGCCAAATCGCCGCTGTAGCGACCAGAGGCGGAGGAGGAGGAGGAGGAGGAGGAGGAGGAGGAGGGAAGAGGAGGATGAAGAGGCCTCGAGAGCTGCAGCATGAGTGGCCAGATCACGCAGCGAGCTCCGCACCGAGCCGCATCGCCGATGCCGCACAGACGCGGCGCGAGCCTTCGACCCCAGCAGCCCGGAAGGGCTGGCAAAAGGCTCCGGGCGGCGCACGGGCGCGTCCCCCACAGAGAGCCCCGGCTGGCCTCGACAGACCCCCCGAGAATCGGGGACGCGCAAACATGGATTAGCGATCCATGTATTTGGCGCGCGGTCGCAAAATCCATGGATCGGGGGAGGTGCCCTACCCAAAATGCGGCCGGTGCCACCTCGCTCGGCGAAGGAAATCCGCGATTTCTTATGGGAACGGGACCCTTCGCTGAAGCACGCCCCCTTGATCCATGTTTCCGATCGCCTGAAAGTAGTCCTAGGTCGGGCATGTCCTCTTACAGACGGCTTGTGAAAGAAATTGTTTTTTTTCTTTTTTTTTTTTTTTTTTTTTTTAAAAAAAAAAAAAAAAAAAAAAAAAAAAAAAAAAAAAAAAAAAAAAAAAAGTCTGCAAAGATAGCAAAAAAAAGTCCAAACAAATTATCCCCAGACTATTTGTTTTTACGATGTTTGAACATCCCTGCCGTAGAGGGTCAGGACCGACTTAAGAGCAGCTGGCCTCAACAGTCCCCCCGAGGAGTCCAGCGCGATCTCAGCACCCTGGCGCCGCCTCCGGCGGCGCCGCTGGGGCGCTCCGCGCCGCAGGGCTGGGGGTATGCTTAGGTCGGGCGGATTTTGAGCGAAGAATGAAAATGTTCCAAACATACTCAAACATAATCAAAAAATGCTCCAAAAATCATCCCCGGAGCATGTTTTTACTACTTTTGAATATTCCTTCTGCAGAGTGACACGCCCGACTCAAGGGTATGCCGGGGCGCGGAGCGGCCCCGGGGCGCCGCTGGGACCCTCTGCGGGGGGGATGTGGCCGTGCGCTACTCGAAGCCATACGGCAGGCTCGTGTCACATACGTAGACTGGCCTGTGCGGCCTGCAGCCCAGACCCCTGACGTCCTGATTTTTGTCATGGCGTCGGCCCCCCTGGACCGGGGGTTTCATCCCGAGTCGTTCTTTGTGGCGGTCCCGAGGGCCGGCAAGGGCCCCCAGGGGCCGAAGATTTGGAAGAACGTTGCGTCGTGAGTTCATGACTCGAGGGAGTCTGGGACGGGGTCCTGGGACGACTCCTCCAGCGGGTCCTCGCCTGGAGACCCCGCCACGGCGCGCGGCGCGCCCGCGGACCGCGGCGAGACGAGCGAGTTGCCGAGCGGGGCCGCCCGCGCCGCTCTGGCGCCAGGCGAGCCGCCCTCCGGGGGCTTGTCGTCCAATTCCATGACGTCGCCGGTCTCCTTCGGAGTGTCAAACTTGGGGCAGCTCAATTCTGTTGTCGATCCCCTACTCCACTCCTCGGGAGGGGGGGGTCCTGAAGTTCCCCCGTGGTTTCGGAAGTCTTCGAGCGCTTTCGAGCGGGGTGGTCTCCATCAGCTGCGCCTCGTCGGGAGCGTTCCCAGGGTGCCAGAATCGTCCCGAGCGGCCGCTGGATGCTAGAGGTATGGCCCGAAAACGGCTCGGATCAGGGGGCAGCGTTAAGGGGGGGGGCCATCCGCACGTTCCTTAGCAGGGTGGCCTATCAGGCCCCTTCTCGGCGATGCATGGGCGATTGGAGGTCGATGCGCTCCTCCCTGATCCTAATCCCCCCCTGCGCTGCCCCTGACAGCAAGGCGCGCCGATGCCGATGCCCTGCTCTCGTTCTCGCCTGCTCGGGCCGCCTGGGGGGCCCTCGTCGCCGCGGCCGGGTTCGTCTCGGGCTCCTGGCCGGAACACACCAGGTGAAGGGATCGGGGGAGTGGCGCTGCTGGCACAGGTTCCTCCCCCGTCTCCGGCGTCAAATCCAGAACATCACCGCCCTTCTCCTGGGGAGGCCACACAACGACATGAGCAGAACCTTGCGGAGGCCCGCGCAGATTTCTTGGGTCGGCGCTCGCCCTCCCGAAGGGGTGTGGGGAGGGGTGCCCCGCGCCAGACCACGAAATCTGGGCGGGCCTCCGAAAGCGAGGGGTTCATCACATGTTTGTGCTCTTCTGTCTCCGGCGTCAAGTCGCGGGCAGGCCCAAGTACGCTTCCCTCGGCGTCCCTCTTCGCCTCCGTGGCCATCCTGAACAATCGGTGGCGGTGGCCTCGAGCCGGTGCGGCTACGGGGAGGCTCCAACCTGGGAGAAAAAACGGCATAAACATAAACTTCTGGAACTGCGCGCAGATCTCTGGGATCGGCACCAGGTGCGCCGCCAGGGGGGCCCAGCGCCGATCCAAGAAATCCGCGCGGACCTCCGAAAGTTGATGTGTATACTGTTACTTCTTCCTACAGCCGCCGTCGCGCCCCACTTCCACATCAGTCACGTCGCGCGGCGCCTTGGCGGCGATGCTCGCCACGTAGGGGTCGCCACACAAGTCCACTGGGCGGAGCACGCGCGCACAGACGGGGCAACACCTTGGCGACACCCCATGATATCCGGGCCGATCCACCAGCCCGATGTCTTCTGGACCTAGCCATAGAAGAAAAAAAAAGTAGCATATATCTAAGTATAAACTTTCAACGGTCCGCACAGATTTCTTGGATCTACGCTGATCCCCCATCCCTGGCGCGGAGCGCACCAGGGGCGGCGCTGGAGGTGCCGCCTGGGGGGCCCAGCACCGATTCAAGAAATCCGCGTGGGAACCCGAAAGCATGTGCGCAACCATGCGTGATTGCGCCTGGACAGCAGGCCCCGCCCAGCACGAGCCCTGGCGGAAAAAAGGCTCCGTCGGTGACTCCGAGTGGCAGCGAGCGCAGCCCTCTTCACGCTGATACAATCATCGTGCTGCCATGGGGAGCGTCGGATGAGGAACGAGGGGGCTCTTCTGCCCACGGCGATCCCCGGCCACGAACGGGCTCCTCCAGGGAGCGGCCGGAAACCCAGCGCACCTCCTGAGCCCAGAGCGGCCCTTTCTTGGCCGGAAACCCAGCGCATCTTGGCCGTGCGGCTCCGCGCTGCTCATCGTCGAATGCTTCGGCGTCTGAGCGTCCCTCCTTCCTCTCGCGACCTCCCCCCTACTTCCCTGCACGCCAGCCAATTCGCCAGTTGGTACCCCTACCTAGCTGTTACGCTGGTGCGGATTTCGCCGCCTCGCCGCTTACGAAAAAAGTCCGGTTCCACGCAGAAATGGCCCTGGGAGAGAGTGACCTTTGCTGCGAGGCGGTGGAGGGCCGCCGAGAGGCCAAATCTAGGCGCGCAGAGTGACGCTGGGGGGGAACCCTGGCGGGCCCGCACCAATCACGTTGCTCCAACGAAAAGCCACTCCTAGGCTCAGCCAGTCATATCAGCGTCGTGGCTGCTTGTCCCCAGATGCTCTTACGACGGAGGCGGAGCAGTGGCGATCGTGTACAATTGGAAGGATGGCGAGGCGACTCTTTTACCCAAGGGGTGTACGAGGGGAGCGTCGGCTCCTGTCACTCGCGAGGGCATGCTGCCCTGAAATGGAGTGGGTGGGCAATGCGAAGCGAGAGCAAGGACCCGAGCCAGCGCGGCTGCAGGCAGGGTGCAACGGGGGACGCACTGGCGTGTCGAGACACGAGTGCACAGGCCCTGGCTGCCCCGCTTGGGCACCCCAGGGGTGGGTGTGGAGGGGTGGGGAGGGGGCAGAGCGCTGCGCAGACGCGCCGTGCACGTGCCCGCGCAGACACCCCGCGCCCCGACGCCAGTCATGAACGGCGGGGGCGAGCCCGGGCATCGCAGGCCCGACCGAGAGAAGAGCGGATGATTGCTTCGTTTCTGTTGCTGCACCCCTGCTGGCTGGACCTCCAGGAGAGACCTCGCCGCCGCGCAGCGCACCCCCACGACAGTCCACGCAGGGACCTTGTCCACTTCCACCGACCTACAGGGACAGACGCACGCCGCTGACAGCCGTGGCTGGGGGGTCGGCGGGCGCCAGTGCGAGAGGCGGAGGACCGGCCCCGCAGCTCTTCGGAGCCAGCAGATCGAAGCGCCACGAAGAGATCGAGGGGGCCGGCCGCGAGCAGGGAGCAGCAGAGGGGAGGAGGAGGCGGCGTCGAGACAACACGTTTTACCTGCCACGGCCTCCGTGAAGCACACGACACCAGAAAGAATGGTCGGAGCCTTCCTGCTCCGCCACCTCGTCCGCCACCTCCACAGATCCGTGTCCTGCCGAGCAAGGGTCCAATCCGCGGATCGGCAGCGAGAATCCTGCCGATCAGCAAGGGCCCCATCGACCGATCGGGCGGATCAGTTGCCTGATCGAGCCCTCATGTGAGGGGCAACGTTAGGGGGGGACTGGCCCAGGGGGGGGACACATCGACCTGAAATCGGCGATGCATCGCCGATAGATCGGCGATAGGACCCCGATATCGAATCCGCACTGTCTTGGGCGGGGCGGGCCATCGGACCCCTACTGGCGGTCAATGAGCGACTGGGGGTCGCTGCGTTCCCCCGTTAGCCTATCCTCCTCCAGACTTTGTCCCTGATGATGGCCAACCCCAGACCTCTCTGACGCTAGTGCCTCGTTCGCGGCGGAGGGCCTTGCGCTCTCGGCCATCTCCCCGAGACTGGTCGCGGGCCCTTCTCTCGGGTGCACGCCAATTTGAAGTAGAGATCTGTGGATCTGGCGCGTGGTCGCCAGGTCCAAGGATCGGGGAAGACAGCCCCGAAAAATGGCGCAAGTGCCGCCCGATTTGGTGGAGCGCGCCGACTCGGCATGGGAACGGGAGACCCGTCGCTAATCCACGTTGGCTCAATCGAGGTGTCGTGCCTTGCGCTCTCATCCCCGCAGGGTGCGGAACCTTGGGCTCGTGGTCACTGTCTGCCCGTCCCGCTTGTCGGGCCCCTTGGGGCCCGCCCGCCCGACCTGCTCACACTGGGCCCCGTCCGCCCCGCCTCCAATGACCTGTCGCCCAGACCCGCCCGTTAGGGTCTGCCCGTTCGCCGGCTTGGACGCTCGCTCGCCCGCCCGCCCGACCCCACCGCTGGAGCCCCCCCGCCCGCTCGTTGGGGTCCGCCCGCACAGCCTGGCTGTCGGTTGTCGTACCATGGGGTTGGCATGCAAATCAAGACTCTCCATGGCCCCGCGGGCCCGAACAGGGCCCCACGGAGCCCGAACTGCCAGGAGACGCCCGTCGTCATGTCGCCCGTGACGCCCAGAGGCCTGTGCGTCCTCCCCGCTCGAGCTCGACCCCCCGAGCCTTCCCTTTCTTGACTTTTGTCAACGCATGGTTTTTTCGACCCCCCGATCCCTCCTGGGGCGCGCCCCGGCCGGAACTTCGAGGCGCGCCCCCATGCGGAGGCGGAAGCCCCACGCTCCTCCCTCCCACGCCCCACGGTCCTCCAAAGCCAGGACAAAGATAGAAAGTCGGGCGGGGACAGCCTCCAAGAGGCCCAAAAGCGGCCCCCACGAGGCACCCACGAGGCCCCAAAAGACCCACACAGGGCCCCAAGAGGCCCCCAAGAGGCCCAAAAGGGGCCCAAAAGACGCCCCAAAACGGCTCCCAAGAGACCTCCCGCGAGATCCCAGCACTGCTCTGCTTGGGGGTCGGCGGAATGGCGCTGGCCTCTTGAATATGACATGGGGGGAAGAAAAATCCACGTCTGGAAGTCACGTGCTGAGCGGCAGCGTTTTCCGCGGATGCTGTAATGCAGTGGATCCAATGTGTCCAATGTTTGCATAATTCCCACATACTGTATTGTGTTACATTATTATGTCTCCCCCCCTAACCCCCCCTGGGAGCTGCGCCACATGAACGGACCAAAGTGGCCCCCCCCCCTCCCGGGGCTCAGAAACCTACCGAAACCTATAGAAAATCGATGATGTCGACTTCTTGGGCATCTTGGGGGGCCAAGAGGGCGCCAAAACGGCTCAAGATGGGCTCTGCGCGGGCCAAGACGGCCCCGAGACGGTCCAAGACGGCCCCAAGAGGGCCCAAAAAGCCCCAATGACGGCCCAGGAGGGCCCCAAGAGCGCCCACAACTGCGCCTCCAGAAGCCGAAATCCTTGATTTCCCTTTGGTTTGGTAATATTTTACCGTTCTCGCCTTTGCGGCCCAAGCAGCATCCCAAATCGCTCCAGAACAACCCAAGAAGCCCCCAAGAGGGCCCCAATACGGCCCAACAGAACCCAAAGACGGCCCAAAGAGGCCCCCAAGACGGTACAAGAGGCCCCTGTGACGGCCCAAGAGGACCCCAAGACGGCCCCAAGGCGGCCGCGAGAGGCCCCCAAGACGGCCTCCGTAGAGGCGAAACGGCACAAAAGCGCCCCAACACGGCCAAAGACGCCCCCAAGAGGCCCCAAGAGGCCCCCAAGAGGCCCCCAAGGGCACCCAAAAAGCCCCCAAGAGGCCTCCAAGATGTCCTCAAGAAGCCTCCCCAAAGGCTCCAAAGAAGCCCCCCAAAGGCCACGCAGCGACTAGAGTGTACTGCCATTTTTCCAACCTGGGCGAACTGCGGCGCAGCGCCAGCCAGGTCGAAGTTGGTCACAGCGGCGCCCATGATTAGAGCCGGCGCTGGAAGAAAATATGGGGAGGGAGTATGAAAAGGAGGGAGGGGGGAGAGGCCCCAAAGAAGTCCCCAAGAGGCCCAAGGAAGCTCCCAGGAGGCCTCCAGGAGGCCCCCAAAAGGCTCCCAAGAGGCTCCGCGACGACGTGACTGGACGTGCTCCGGACGTGCACCCCGCGAAGCGAGAGGAATTGAGGATCTCGCAAATCGGGCGGCTCGGGAGGCTGTCTTGGGCGCCGCGGCCTTCTCAGAGCGCGAGCGCTCTGAGAGCGTTCCGGAGCGCTCCAGAACGGACTTGTCCTCGCCCTGGCCCCGCCCAGCTCTCCCGCCTCCCGCTCTCCCTCCCGGGCTGGCAGAGGGGAAGGCCAGCGACTGTTGAAGGCCTGCATCTGCCGGTTGATGGCCAGGTACGCGTCCAGCCCGAAGCACTGGACGTGCCGGCACGCCTTGCCGCGCACCGGCCCCACGACCCTGCGGGGCGCGTCCAGAACTTTGGGACCCACTCCCCCCCCCCCTCCTGCCACAAGGGCCTCCCGGCGCCGCGGAGAGGACGGCGGCGCGTGTGTCCGCCGCTTCGGCCTCGGGGGGGGGCCTCTTCGGGCCCTGGAGCCGTGGAACAAAAAGGCACGGGACTCCGAGAAAGGGATCCATCGATCTGGGGGCAAACGCTTGTCTTGACCTATATATATAATTCTGCATATATATATATATATATATATATATATATATATATATATATATATACATCCATACATACATACGTATATACATACATAGATAGATACATGTATGCTGCATGAATGCATACATGCACACATGCATACATACATACATGCATGCATGCATGCATACATACATGCGTGTGTATATATGTACGTACAAACACAAAATACATACACATATACATACACACATACATACACACATACACACACACACATACATACATACATACATACATACATACATACATACATACATACATACATACATGCATGCATGCATACATACATACATACATACATACATACATGCATATATACATACATACATGAATGCATGCATGCATGCATGCATGCATGCATGCATGCATACACACATACACACATACATAAATACATACATACATACATGCATACCTACTGGCCATGCGTATATACATACAGGCATACATAAGCACACACACCTGCATACAGACATACATACATGCATAGGTAAAAACTGCGTAGGTACAACAACAATCAGTTTAAGACGAATCGCTCTCATCTGCTCAAAAGCATTCAGCGTGTATTTCCCAAACCCTCGATACCCGCCCTCTTCGTCTTCGATCGTACCCCTTTGGGAGGTATATATTTCTTCCCTGCAGGCTGCGCCCCAGCAAGCGGCGGGACGGCCGCGGACCGTCGGCCTGGCCAGCGGCAGCGCTGATCGGCGGCAACCCGACCCCAAGAGAGACGGACAGGGGACAGACCACGACGACGATCACGACGACGACGACGACGACGACCACCACCACCACCACCACCACCACGACGAGCGAAAGTGAGAGCGAGAGCGAGAGCGACAACGGGGCCACGAAGGGCAGGAAGCGGGCCACGAAGGGCGAGAGCGGGGCCACGAAGGGCATGCGTATGGGGCCACGAATGGCGCGAACGAGCGGGGGCCACGGAGGGCAGATAATGCGGGGCCGCAGAGGGCAACGACGGGGCCACTGAGGGTAGCAACGGGGCCACGTAGGACAGCGAGGGGGCCACAAATGGCGACAGCGGGGCCACGAAGGGCATGCATATGGGGCAACGACGGGCGCGAACGAGCGGGGGCCACAGAAGGGTATACATATATTGGGCCGCAGAAGATAAGAACGGGGCCACTGGGGGCAGCAACGGGTCCACGAAGCGCAGCGAGGGGGCCACGAATGGCGACAGCGGGGCCACGAAGCGCATGCATGCGGGACCACGACGGGCGCGAACGCGCGGGGGCTACGAAGGGCATACATATATGGGACCACGAAACGAAGCGAGGGGGCCACGAGGGGGTGCAACGGGGCCACGAAAGGCAGCGACGGGGCCACGAAGGGCAGCGAGGGAGCCACGAAAGGCTGCAACTTGACCACGAAGGACAGCGAGGGGGCCACGAAGAGCTGCAACGGGGCCACGAAAGGCAGCCAGGGGGCCACGAAAGGCTGCAACGGGTCCACGAAGGGCAGCGAGGGGGCCACGAAGGGCTGCAACGGGGCCACGAAGGGCAGCGAGGGGGCCACGAAGGGCTGCAACGGGGCCACGACGGGCAGCGAGGGGGCCACGAAGGGCTGCAACGGGTCCACGAAGGGCAGCGAGGGGGCCACGAAGGACTGCCACGGGGCAACGAAGGGCAGCGAGATCCAGATTCCTAAGTAAGCTGCGAGGGAGTCCTCTTAAGCGTGAGCGCGACTCCTGGGTGCCTGAATGTCGGGAGCGCGGCGCATAAGTAAATTGCATGGAACTCCGACGCAAGAGCGCGTTTCTCCAGTAAATTGCAAGCAAGTCTCCAGCGAAAGCGCGACTCCAGAGCGCCGAGAGAGCGATTCCTACACAAATTGAAAGGAAGTTCCAAGCGAGAGCGCGATTGCTAACTAAAATGCGAGGAAGTCTCAGGCGGGAGCGGGGCCCGGGCTAAATTGTGAGGAAGTCTCAGGCGGGACCCGTTGTTGTTGCAACCCGTGGGCCAGGAGCACAACTTGAACCGAGTGACTTTCCCTGATAAAAAACCGGATGCGCGCCACGGGGGAAGCACTTCAATTGAAACTATCCTGGCGAAGGACCCAACCGTGCGCAACCGTGAATACCCCGTTTTGTACACCGTTTTCGGTGGAGCTCCCCATGGGGCCACGAACCGCGAGAGGGGTGCGCAAGAATGGGGCGGCGCCGCCATGCGGACCCTGCCACTGGGGCCCTCGGTGGAGCTCCCTATGGGGCCACGAACCGTGTGAGGGGTGCGCCGAAAAGGGGCGGCGCCGCCATGCGCACCCTGCCACTGGGGCCTTCGGTTGAGCTCCCTATGGGGCCACGAACCGTGTGACGGGTGCGCCAAAATGGGGCGGCGTCGCCATGTGGACCCTGCCGCCAAGGCCATCGGTGGAGCTCCTTATGGGGCCACGAATCGTGTGAGGGGTACCCCAAAATGATGCGGCGCCGCCATGCGGACCCTGCCACTGGGGCCTTCGGTGGAGCTCCCTATGGGCCACGAACCGTGTGAGGGGTGCACCAAAATGAATACGGCGCCGCCATGCGGACCCTGCCACTGGGGCCTTCGGTTGAGCTCCCTTTGAAGCCACGAACCGTGTGAGGGGTGCCCCAAAATGGGTGCGGCGCCGCTATGTGGACACTGCCACTGGGGCCTTCGGTTGAGCTCCCTTTGAAGCCACGAACCGTGTGAGGGGTGCGCCAAAATGGGTGCGGCGCCGCCATGTGGACCCTGCCACTGGGGCCTTCGGCGGATTATCTACAGAGCCACGAACCGTGCGAGGGGTGCCCAAAAATGGTGCGGTGGCGCAACGCGGACCCTGCCACTGGGGCCTCCGGTGGAGCTCTCTGTGGGGCCACGAACTGTGTAAGAGGACCCCCCTACGGTCCCTCGGCCAACGAAGACGGCCGTAGGGGGGGGGACCTGTACCTCCATCTCAAGGCATTCGTGCCACCACCTACCATTCCAGGCACCAATTGCCACCCACCACATCTATCCTCCTTTGGGCCGTGAACTGGATTTATTCCCCTGCCGGCTGATTGTGCCTGTCAATGTCAGTCAGCCTTTACATTTTTACATTTTGGCACTTAGGCCACCCCAGCAGTGCACCAAGGGTGACGGTTCGACCCGTGCTGTAGTGGCACTCATGCCGTCGTGTCCCTCTCCCCGCCCACCTAGGGTGATGGTTCGACCCGTGCTGTAGTGGCACTCATGCGGTCGTGCCCACTCCCCGCCAACCAATCGAGAAGACCTACCTCCAGGATCCCTTGGGGCCACAAATCTACGTTTGACTTCAGTCTCTGTCCCCCCGCCCCTCTCTTCCCCGTCCCCGCTCTGGCCCCTTGCCCGCCCCCTTTCCCCCCCCCCGTTTTTCTTGCCTTGTCTCTTCTCCTCCTCCTCCTGTCCTCCCTGCCCGTTCTCTCCTCCTCTGCCTCTGTCTTGCCCGTCCCCGCACCAGCATGTCTGGATCGCGGGGTACGGTGCTGGGTTTATTTTCTGTCCTTTTAGGGCTGCCCCAGTCGAGGATCCCGCAAGCCCCTCGCCTGCGCCGCGCGCCGTGCTGCCGGCGCACGTGGGGGATTACTCGCCTGGGGTCGAGCTCGACGCCTCGGTCGCTTCGTCGTCTGGGGCGCCTTCGCGGACCTGGAGTGGTATCAAATTCCTGGCGGGGGCGATCGACCCTCCTTTTCCTGGGTCCTCGTGGACCCTGGTCTCCGGCTTCTGGTCTGGTGTGCGGATTTGGGGCTGTTTCCCCAAACGATTATGGAGATTTTGACCCCTCCCCCACGCTTTGGCCGGCTCCGGGGGTCCTGGTCCGAAATGGCACTTCCCACCTTGTTCCATTCCCCAGGGGAGGCATGGGACTTTTTCTTGGTGGGGATGCGACTTCGCGACCCCGCCCCCCTATCACCCCACCCTTGTCCGGCCCACCCGTCGATGTAGTGAAAAATTAATCCTGGAAGTTCCGGGGGGGGTGGCGTATACACAGTCTCGGAGTAGAAGCTGTGTGTGCCGGTTTGTGGGCCCCCATTTGCAGGAATCCCGCCTCAGGAGTGAGAGGCATCGCGGGCGGCATCGACACCCGGAGTGGCCCCCCTCCCTCTCGCCCCTCCCCTCGGCGAGGACCGTCATTAGGCCTCGTCGGTGAGGACCGTCATTAGGCCTCACACCCCTCGCAGCTTCCATCAATGGGGTTGCGAGGGTTCCCGCTCCCGCCAGTCAACCTTCCATTTTGCCGTCAATAGGCACCGGAGGGGGCCGAGGACCCCCCTACGGTCCCTCGGCCAACGAAGACGGCCGTAGGGGGGGGTGACCCGTACCTCCATCTCAAGGCATTCGTGCCACCACCTACCATTCCAGGCACCAATTGCCACCCACCACATCTATCCTGCCACTGCGACCTTCGGTGGAGCTCCCTATGGGGCCACGAACCGTGTGAGGGGTGCGCCAACATGAAGCGGCGCCGCCATGTGGACCCTGCCACTGGGGCCTTCGGTGGAGCTCCCTATGGGGCCACGAGCCGTGTGAGGGGTGCGCCGAAAAGGGGCGGCGCCGCCTTGCACACCCTGTCACTGGGGCCTTCGGTGGAGCCCCCTTTGGGGCCACGAACTGTGTGAGGGAGGTCCAAAAAGGGGCGGCGCCGCCATGCGGACCCTGCCATTGGGGCCTTCGGTGGAGCTTCCTATGGGGCCACGAACCGTGCGAGGGGTGCGCCAAAATGGGGCGGCGCCGCCATGCGGACCCTGCCA